TTTGTGCCTAATCATGAAAATATCACCTTAGTCAAAAAAAAGGAAAAGTTAATCAAACCTATCCTTCTATAAGGTTATAAAATCAATCTAGGTCAGGCAAAATGCCTACAACCCATCGCATCATATTTTAAATAATTCATGGTGTAGTATACCTTCTATTTTATATCTTTCTTTTTCACTATTCTCTCCATTTTCTTATGGATATAAGAAGAATATTAGTTAAACATTCATTCATATTACATCACTGTTTAATGCCTTATTCTAAGTACAAACAAAGTACAACCTTATGCGGATAATATCTCAATTTCTGTTGGTGAAAGAAACACACGTTTTTGACATGACTTCCCTTTCATCCCACAAGTCTTAATTTAGCCACCGTATGATAAGATATTTTTAAAAGCTGCCACTATTTATTTTTAAGTCACAGCTGTTGTTTTTTAACAGAATTACTGAAGCGCTTGTGATTAATGCTGCCAATGAATTTTTAAAATACCTTTATCATGTATTATTATTATTGTTCTCTTGAGTTCCAAGTGGAAAATAGGGCTTCAAAAGCACACCTCCACTTTTTTCCTATCCTCTGTATTACTCTCCCTAGCTGACCCTATAGTTGCCTGTAGTCTCTCACCCCCTCCACTTCACATGATCTCTTCCATGTCACTCTCTGACCAACGACCATCTCTCCGTTTCCATTCATGTTCCACTCGAGTAATTGCCTGGTGAGCGATGTCACCCAGCCGTGTCTTCATTATGTGTTCAATCCATCACCATTTTCGTTAGAATATTTGTTCAAAGATAGGTTCTCGATTGGTTCATCCCTAGAGTTTAACGTTGCCTATTCTTCCCGGTCAGCTGGCCACCGATCTTCAACACGGAGCCAGCGATGGCAGCTGTTGGAGAAATTCTGCAGCAGCATGTTGGAAATGCTTTCCATAATGCCTTCGCGAAATTTATGACTCATATGAAAGAACTAACTGACTTGACATTGGTGCTAAAAATCCGAATTTCGTTGTTTATGCTGCAGAGTACAGAGGATTTGTGGACTGATTTCAGATTGATGAAGGTTTGTCTGGTCTTTTCGATTCTGGATTTGACATCCTCTTTAGTGACGCCTGCCTATAGTTGAAATGATGCTTCTTAGATAAGTGGAAGAATTAAACTCTTTCAAATTCCTTTCGTTGGTAGTCATTGGTGCTTTTTGTTAACGGATAGTTATCTTCATCTTCTCTATTTTCACTTAAAGTCTTGTCTTTTCTGTTGATGGCGAGCTACCTAGAACGATGGCCGAATTGCGAACCTGACTGATCGAATTCAGTCTGCACCAAAGAAAGGACTAGACACATCACACTAGTCACTAGTGTCCAATCAAATATATGTAATCAGCAAGTAGTATTAACTCAGTGTAATTTAAAATAGAATTTCATTTTTAAAAATTTTATTATAGCTTGATTGCACACATTATTTTGGTACAAGTATGAAATTTTCAGCGTGTGATATCCGTAGCCCAAATTTAGCGGGCCGACCATAGATATCAGGTGTGCGTCGGCGGGGAATCGAATCTCAGACCGTGTGCGTGGTCGGCGAGAGTCCTAACCGCTGTGCCACCGACACAGTGTGTTGAAGACTGTGCTTTTAGGGAGTTGGCTATTTTTAAGTTTGAATATGGATTGATATCAGTTACAGAACTATTGATAACAAGCCACAGGGAGAATTGAATAACTGTTTCGTCCTAGTTTGGGACTCTTCACAGAACGCACACACCACAAGGGTTCGAAACAGGGACCTTCTGGTTACAAGGTAACCTCATAAATCATTCAGCATAAATTTTATTGATAAAATACTTCTTCAATCATTGTGGTTATTTAACAGTAGAACGTGATGAAGAATTTATCTTTGGTCGTTAACCAGTCCTTTAAATTTGTAATAGGTATCCTAAATGAATTAAAATTAGAATTACGAAAGTAGTGATTGGAAAATGTAGCTAACTGTAAGTGAATTTCTCTGTGAGAACATTGGATGAATGAGTCCTTATAGAGCAATAAAGCATACTGGAATTGTGAATTTTGTCGACTACAGTGCATGTTGCAGTGTCTCAGGTGGATATACCAGGAGAATTCAAATGGCAAGGAGGTACTATATAGCTGTGGAGTACTGGTCCTCCTACTGTCCCCTTAAGTCTTGGAACCGACCACTGGATGAAGTGGTTTCTATTTCCTTAACCAATTTATTTAAGCAGGGACTAGACAAACGCAGGTACTTATTAGAAAGGTATTAACATTGACTTAAAGCCTTCTACCCTCAAGCGAATATCTGAATAGGAAAATATCCAAAGATCTAGCTTCGGAGAGGTAGAGTTTACTGAAAGTTACTGTCATTAAGCAGGTTTATTCGAAATAATCTGAATTAATTTATTCTTGACACGTAGGTCGTTCTAATATCTATAGATTTCATTTTTTATGTTTTTTCTATATATTAGGCTTGACCACTTTATAGGACCAAATATTAAAGTCTATGTTTTTCAGAAACGAAATCTGTCATTACAACGTATCATTCTTTGAACAAATGATTAAGTGCTAAAACTGACCATCAAAAGAGAAGGCTACGTTTCGTTTCATGAATGTACTAACTTTCACTGGCGGCGCACAAAGAATTCGAGTCTTAAATATTTAAAATTAAGTTTCCATCTGAAGTGTATAGGCGAAGGAAAGCAAACGAACACTCCATACTTCCTGAAACTGGTGTAGTGTCAAGATAAAATAAAATGCCAGTTCAGCTGCTTTATACAGCTCACAGACCTTCATCATCAATCAGCGTTCGAACAAAATCAAATAAATTAGTGATACACTTGTTAAATTAATCAACGAATATAGTTTCACGCATAGTGATGTGTTATATGACGGAGACTACTATTTGTTAGCATACTTGAGAGAATTTTGAAACATTGGGTCACCATGAGACATGGAAATTCTTCTAATCAGAACAATAACCAAGAGTGACTTAGTGGCTACATGCACAGGAGAAAGTAAGGTTCAGAGTAAACTCAGCATACTGAATGAAAACAGATTTTATCCTAGTGTACATAGTTCTGCTCGGCAGAAGATCCAGTTTTGTTTCGCTATGGTACATCATAAATAATAACTCAAGGGCTGATCACCGGAATTATTTAACTACCACGAAGACAGTTGTTAGAAGTCACCCTAAAGAGGTACAAGAGAAGAAGTGCTTGAAACTTTTAAAGGATTCTCCAAGAGGGTGGTTGATGCTTGCAGCCTTTCACCTGCCAAGATTAATAATGGCGTCTTTCTCAGCGATTGCCTTCAGTGAAAAACTGTCTCTACAGATACATATATATGTGGTGGAATTGCCACAGCCTGATTTTCTCCCTTACAAGGCTCCAAACGAACAAATTTGAAGTTCTTATTGATGTGTAAACTAAAAGAATAGGCCAAACGACCACTATGCTGCAGTTCAACCAAACGAGAGTTTTGAAAATGTGCGGTCATAAAACTGCTAGGCCAGAAGGTATTTATATACATTAACTTATGCATCTTTCAGAATGCCTTCCAAAGAGTTCCTGAAGATAAGTTTCGAAACTAAAATTAAACAAAGTAAATATGTGACACGTGAGTTCCACAAGGCACTGTACTCCAACTTCTCCTATTTATTTTGTATATCAATCAGTTATCTCTGCTCACCGATTCCCCTATGGTCCTATTCGCAGATGACTTATAAATTTGGAGAGCGAGCTGAATGGCAACAGTGATACGCTCACGTTGAGAAAGGATCTCAACAAATTTTCAGAGTGGTCCATAAAATGGATGCTCCCGTTCAATGTAACAAAACGTGCAACCATACGCATTGGACAAGAAAGCATCATCTCCTACGAACTAGAGGGAATAACGCTCCCATCGGTTCAGACTCATTTGGATTTAGGTTACATAGTTTGTCATGATTTGAAAACTACAGCACATTGTCACGCGGTGGCTGCATGTAGTTTCAGATCCTTATGGGCAATTCGCAGAGCCTTCACTAGAATCACCAGGGATATGTTTACCTCCTTCTATACATCTCTGGTGAGGTCAAGACTAGAAAACTGTATCCATGCAGCGAGTCCTTGTCTTAAAGGGGACTGACATACTCTAGAAAGGGTACAAAGGAAGGCAACACGTATGATTCTCTGCATGACTAATTCAACATACGAGGAAAGACTAGACAGTTTAAATCTCTTCCCCCTGTCATACAGTAGGCAGAGAGGAGATTTAAACACAATGTTTAAAATTTTAAATAATGACTACAGACCTGGCTTATTCTCTCTTTTCCTTCCCACAGGTCGGAACACCTTAGAGGACATAGCAGGAGAGTTCAAAAGCCAAGAATAAATCATATGACTGTTGATTACTGGTTCTTACACAGAGTCATAAACTCCTGGAGCAGACTCCCAGAAAAGGGGTGTCTGCAACCCCAACTGACTTACACAAAAGGGGTGTAGACAACCACAGAAATTTACTAGGAAATGATTGACATAGGCTCCAAGCCTTCTATCCTCAACCAATAAATCTTAATCTGAATTTACGAGTGCTCGCAAACCCCCAGTAATGTGCAACTGAGACCCTTTTTTGTGTGCAGTAAATTCCGGGAAGATGTGGGAATAGTGTAATTTTGCGCAAAAAGCACGACGGTGTATTATCTTTCCACACTGGTTCAGCACGAACTGAAAGTTTTTCTAGCCCTTCTTTGACACAAAAATCTTTAAGTCAGCACGCCAGATAAAGAGACAGTGGATTAAATTCAGAAATTTTGAGTGCAATTCGGCGCAATTTAACGTGAAAGCATGAAGAAACGTGTCATTTTTCCCAAAATGCCTAAATCACTTCATAACTCCCTTTTATATTTGGGACTGATAAGAAATACTTCCCAGGCGAATAAAGGACTTAAAAGATTAAATACCAGTATTAAAAGAGACATATAATCTAATTAAAAAAAATCAAAACTTGACTCACTTAGCCCATCTTGTGTAAACCCATTCTTTTGATGCGGAATCCGAGCTATCATCGCCTGAAAAATCCAGGCCCACAATATTTCCTTGTGTATCCCTGGAATGACTGGCCTTTCTTTCTGGTAGAAACATCTCAATATTTGCAAACAGCCTGCTGTTCTTATTTGTAAACGAAAAAGAACTGTTAGTTTAATCCATCAGAACACAATAACAATATAAAACTATGAATAACCGCATTTTTCAAGGTTAATATTTAACCTTCAATGCTAAGTGGCATCAGTGCATTTTATGTATCATCTCTTACTTCCTGGTATCCACCGTTTGTCTAAATCGATTTCTTTTGAGTAACGGGAAACAACAAATCCTGGAAAGGAAATATTATACAGACCACCATACAACCTTGTTATTAGCTAGTGTATCCAAGGCTGGACTTATCCGGCATGTTGGTTGAAATTTCGCTCGGCAAATTTTTTTTGTCAGTAATTTTTAATAAAATTTTGTTATATGTTTTCTGGATTGATAGGAATTCTCATTTTCTGGCTAGTTATGTTGGTGTCCGCGTCATGTAATCTGACTGCGACACACTTAGCATATTGGTTGTAATGATTAGTGTTTCATGCTGAATGCGTCAAAACATCTCTACAATGAAGAAGATGGGGTAGTTGGGGGGTAATGTCATCTACACAAATAGTTTATTTCTTGTAGAAGCTGCAGCTTTCGACGTAGTGTCATTTAATGAAGACTACGTCAAAATGTGGCTATTTTCGCGTGAAGAACGGTACTATTTTACAAAAGAATGCTATCAGTACATGGGAATCACCTATAAATGCCAACAGAACGTAAAACCAATGTGTAAACGAACGGCTACGGAACTGTAATCCAACATAACCGACTAACATGGACGAAAATGACCTTTGATTGTCTCACTCCATCAATGACCTTGAGCATGCGGGATAATTTCAGCCGTATCCAATATTCAATATCGTTTTTACGAGCTAGTATAAACCACTTTGATTGCTTTGTGCTCTCCTCTTGATTGTGAGGTGTAGGTTCCTGATCTTTGGTAGACTTCTGCGTAGCTCGTCCCGCCACTCGACTGTCGTAGCTTTGGTTGACTCCAAAAGGAGTAGTGCAGGGATTAATTATATGTGGTTTGTAGTATTGGGTGTGTTAAGACTGTTACTACTGTGAATGGAGTTGATCCTTTCACCAATGAGTCCTCCGGCATCGTCGTCAAAAGAAAAGAGATAATAATAATAGATATAATTAGTGAAGTTATTCAGACTAACAGACAGAAAAAGAAATAAGAAAACGAAACAACAACAGTCAGCTGATTAAATTTGAAGAATAATATGAATTATATATATATATCGGTAATTATGACAATAATAATAGGTGTAGTTAAAGTTATCAGAAGAGTAAGACAGGAGAGAATTTAAAGAAGTAAAACGAAAAATTTAATTGTCTACCCCTGAATGGTGTATGGGATTTTAAGGTGATAGGCCATTTGGACGCAGACCTTGTGTTGCTGCACGATTGTCCAGCCTTCGCTTAAAGGCGTCCACAGACGGTGTCATAGCTACATCTGCCGGTAAGGAATTCCAGGGACGGCAAACACACAATGAAAAGAAGTGGGAGCGCATCCGAGTCCTTGCCCTCTGGTGAGCTATCCTTCTGGGATTTCCACGAGGGAGCCTAGGCCTACTTAATGGCAGAATACCTTTGTTTAGGTGATTCTGGTCATATTGTTATTTTGTGGGCAGTAATTAAATCCTTCCCTAAGACGCTGGTAGCTAAATGTGAATAAGCTTAATTTCTTCAGCCTTTCGTCAAATGGTTTGTTTCAGACACCAAGCACTCCTTTTGTCGCCCATCGTTGGACTCTAAGTAGTGCGGGTGCAATAACACTGTGCACTTCAAGGTGCAGTCTGACATATGTTTTGTACAACCTTAGAAAGGGCTCAGGAGTGAGTGCACCTAATTGTCTATGTGTAAAGTGCTTGACCGCATATGCCCTTGCTACATCCCCCGTGTAATTTACGCTTGTGTCCATTTTGTCCATTAGAACTAGACCTAAGTCACGTTCCGACGTTGTGTAGGACAAGCTTTCAGTGCACAGGGTGTAACTTGCATTCTGCAGTCTGCAGGTGCGTAACTGCACTACTTTGCACCTTTTCAGGTTGAAAGTCGTGCCACTGACCACCGCCAAGTCTTCCAGAAGGCTTAGATCTTCCTGTAGCCTGTCTGAGTCCTCCAGACACTTTAGCGCTCTCCATATAAATAAATAAATAAATTTATTCTCATAGTACAGTACATGAGGGACGCCAGTTTACAGGCATCATCAAATTGTTACAGAAATAGAACCATATAATTCAATCACAATTTACAGGCAGTAGCAGGATATGCTTTACATGTTCGCTGGAGATTATACATACACTTGATAAATGTTAATCCCAGTAGTATAAAACAGCCTTTTCACTTATATACAATCATTTCTGTGCAAAGTTGGAAAAATCTGCTAGATTGTCAGTGAGTGCAACACAACAGGAAATACAGGAGTATTGTCTTCGCATTAACAAAAAAACCAGGTCTTTGGTGGATGGATTATAAGTGCCTCATACAGAAACCCTCCCTACACCTTATATGCTTATCGAAAAGCTGCAGCCTTCAAGCTCTGTCTCAGCACTATCTTCAGAAATAAAACTTCTAAAGTTGTCTATAGGAGAACTTAAGGCCGAGTTAAGGGACTTAAAAAACAATAAGTCAGTAGATCCTGGAATTTCCGATACCAATACCAAAATCTCCAATTTATCAGGCCAGATCAGTGATATCAGACTGCAGGTCTGTGAACTGACACCTTTAACTATTCTCATGAAAACTGTAGACCTTAACAAACTTGACAGTGAATCGGTATCTAAGGTGGATAACCTAATTAACTTTGTTACTACAGAAGTAACAAAACGACTAGATGCTAAATTAAATGCTATTGTCTACAACGTTCCGGATAATGAGGCACTAAAAAAGGTACAGCGCATCCTACTTAGTGAGGCGAAAATGCCCAACTCCAAGACTAAGTGCTACAGGCTGAAGAAGAGTCAACATGACAAGTGTTGTCCTATTCGTTTTCAGTTCGAAACACCGGCTGAGGCCAGAAAATTTACCCACTCCCAACACACCCTACCGCAAGCCAGAAATTACAAACTAATAAAGGTTGCTGTGGACAAGACCGTCATAGAAAGGCGCGTATATAATTATCACACTGAGTCTAATTCTGGAATAAACAATAGGACATTGCAAGCAGCAATTATACCCAACCCTTTGAGAGACACCGTAGAATCCACCGCACCACCCCTCTCTAACCACACAGAATTATCTTCTCAGAGAGCGACACCAACCTAAAGGCCGCTAAGTTGTAATCAAATAGCCAATAAAACTATACCACCTACCACCGTAGATTTAGACATGTCACTAAATAATCCAAGAAAAGAAGTCAAAATCCCCCGAAAGTTGACCCTTTCCTCTCCTAGCCATAAGTCCATTGGTAAAAAAGAGAAGAATATGACCCCAAATCATGCCAACAACAACAATGGCAGTATAATTAAGCCCACATTCCCCACGGTCAATAGTATTGGCACCCACAACGTGCGAAATAGCACCATGGCCCACACTGATAACCAACGCCAAAACAATGCCACCCTCAAGAGTACAAGTGACAATAGTCAGAACTCGACCACCAACAACTCAGGGCACTCACAGTATGGCACGCTAATAAATTTTGATCGGATATACGGTACAAGTCTGCTGGGAACTAACCCACAAAGCAGTACATTCGAAACCCTTACAAGGACACCACTAGTACCTAACAATAGGTGGAATAATAGACCATGGTCTTCACAAGGTCCCAATCATTTTTTATCCCCTGCGTCCCTGTCAGCGTTGAAAAAACAGCTGGTAGGGATGCTAACACTCCTAAACCACTAGTGCTGGCTCCCCATTTGCATGAATATAGGAACAGTCTAGTTCGCCCGCATCCACTAAGCACACTTGGTACATGCACAAGTTTAGGTCAAATAAAGATCCCTACCCCCGTTTCTAGCTTAACTAAAAATAAAAATGCCTTAGCCTATAGCACATCCAGTACTCCAACGCTCAATTCTTCACCGAAAACAGCACACACCAACTCGATAGACATAGTTGAACATGATGCTGAAACTCCTCTTAACATAGGGTCGTCATGTCAAACAGTACTACTGGGTGCTGAACCACATTCGGGGCTGATTAACGAACTTAAGTACTTCAAATGCTATTTCAAATCTCATCTTTACCTAATCCTCATAAATGCTAGATCTGTTCTAAATAAACTACCGATGCTCAGAGCACTCACAGTAATATACAAACCCCCTATAATTGTCATCACTGAATCCTGGTGTAACTCGAACATACTGGATGAAGAGATAAGCTTAGATAACTATACACACTTCCGGTGTGACAGGGAAGGTGGTAAGGGAGGAGGTTGTCTCATGTACTTTCTGAATACACTTACTGTATCACAGCTAGAAAGTAGTACACTTAACATGCCTGAGACTTTATGGGTTAACTTACACTTAAATAACGCAATAGTATTAATTGGATGCACCTATAGAGCACCTGGTACCTTTAGTAATTACGAGACCCAACTTATTAATACTCTAGAACAATTATCCACCCTCCACTACGATCATAAGATCCTATGTGGAGACTTTAACTTACCAGAAATCAACTGGGAAATACCCACAGGTCCAACTAAACTTGATAAGTTCTTAGGCACACTGGATATACTTGGCTGGAAGCAGACTGTCACAGCCCCTACAAGAGGTAATAACGTACTAGACTTAATCTTCTGCCACAATATAAGTCCCCTTTCTACCCTAGTAGGTTCTGAGTTTTCAGGGAGTGACCACAAAACAGTGCTGTGTGCACTGCCACTTCCGTCAAGTTGCAATGCAACCCATACCCCTACTTCACAACAAATAACTTACAGGAACTACAGTAAGGCAGACTGGACTCTAGTAAAATCAATGCTAAGATCCTCAGAATGGAGTGAGTACTTCTATACTGATAGCCTCTCGAAAGCTCTAGACATCTTTTACTAT